TGATTGCTCAATGACAACAACAGCACACCTGTACCTGTAACGCAGCTGCAGCAGTGAAACGGTATGGTCTGCGCTCAAAACTGAGCCCATCCGCACAGCTGCAGCACCAGTGGGCCACGTTGATCGCTATCTTGTGAACCCAGGCGATTTCTTCAACTCCGAGCATCTTGTTGTTGTTCATAGCCGGCATAGGTCATGCCCCCTCTGGCCGAGACGTTACCGTGGCCCTCTCACCACAGTACTAGGTCACTTGCGTTGGCAGCAAGCAAACAGCGCGGGGCTCCAGGGGAAGCTCAAACCGTGCTCCTCCTGGCTGACGAGGAGCCTTACTGTCGGCCGGACGCGACGCACTTCCTAACACCAGCAGCCTGAGACGTCATCTCCAACTGACCTTTAGAGAAGCATCAGACGGGAACTTGGGCAGTTCTTACTTCTACAAAGCGTACGACTGTCCAATAAAACGCACATGCAACCACTTCAGCCGATTGAACCTAATTGGTAAGAGGTTTCTTGATGCAAACTATTAGGACAACACAATTCTACAGAGCAATATAATGCAGGTGGAGGATTTCTGGCAACAAAACCATCATCTACACAGCACACAGTCCCACCCGCATCCGTTCTCCGCAAATAGGACCCGTTCCCCGCCCCGCTCCGGCCACTCACCTGGTACTTCCTGATGCGCTCCATCTGCTCCCGGCCGGGCTCCGAGTCACGGCTGGCCGTGCTGCTCCCGCGGCTCCGGTCCAGACTGGGCCGCGGAGCCGGCGCCGGCGGCTCCGGCCGCGGAGCCGCGCCCGAGCCGGAGCCGGAGCCGGAGCCGGGCCGCGGCGCCGTGCCGGTGCCGGGCGCGCGCGGCGGCGGGTAGCGCGGCGGCGTCTTGGTGCGCGCCACGAACGACTCGGGCACGTCGACGGCCATCTCGCGGTGCGGGCCGCGGTCCAGCTCGCTCATGACCGCCTCCAGCTGCAGCTGCTCCACGCTGCTGGCTCGGCTGCGCGCCCCGCTGCTCCGACTCGACTTGTGGGAGCTGCAACAGCGGCACCGTGAGAGGAGGCGCGGCCAGCAGCCGCTCACGGAGGGGGCCATGGCGCCGCGGCCCGACGGACACCGTCAGACACCACACAGTCACCACACAGTCACCACTGCCTGTCACTGTCACCTGCTACACGGGCTGATCAGCTCAGACAGCTGACAGTCGGCAGACGGCACCTGCTCCCCGCAATCTCCGGAATCTGCGGCCTCCGACAGCCGAGCCAGGGCGTCTCGCACATCACGGTAAAGATCACGTCACAATTAACATACACAGCTCTGCCCGGCACAGTTTCCCACTCTGACCGGGTCCGACCCCACCGGCTCCCCGCCCCGCGCCGTGCCCTCGAGGCGGCCCGGCGGGAGACTGCCGGTCCCGATAACATAGCTGACGGCCAGCTCACCCTGATTAGGTACTGATACAAGGCTCGCCAGTGACCGCACACAGCCTCGGCGGCGCGCCGGCCGGCCGGGGCCGTGCAGTGTAAAGGACAAGATACCGACACACACACACACACACACACACACACATACACAGTTCACACAGCGATATCGGATCGAGTGGTGACAAGTAGCACGTATCCGGCGGCCCTGCAGATAAATTTAAATGTCCCACTTAGCGCAAAGGTACGATTGAGTAAGGCGTATCATATCTTAGTCATTCAAGAAAGCATGCATTGTCCTCTGTCGCGTGGAATGTTAATTCTAGCGGATATCTGAGACAATTTGAGGCATGATAAGTTCCATTAAAATGGAAAATGTAAGCAATTCTTAAACTAAACGCACATTTGTTTTAGCAAAAACGGACACCGGCTTGAATGTTTACCGTTTGACAATGGATAACAAATGAGTTACACGGCAGTCCTTTCAGCATTTTAATATTGCGACGCATTCGCACCCATCCATAATATTCATGCCGTCTCAGCTGATGTCATCTCATTGTGATTCGTTCACTGGATACCCGAAATCAGAACGGACAGAGGGATGAAAAACTCATTTCACCATGGCCTACCCCGACCCGTTCCGCTCTGGAACTCACCTGAGGCTCTCCTTGCTGCTCCTCTTGCTGTCGTTGTGCGTGATGAACGCCTTGCTCCTGATCCGGGTGTTGGCCGCCGGGTCGTCCACCACCCGGCCGTTGCCGTTACAGCGGCTCGACATGGCCTCGCCCGAGTGGCCGCTCTCTGCACTGGTCGCGCTCTGCCCCAGTCTTTCCACCGCCGCCTCGCGCCTCTCGTGCTTTTCGCGTCTCTCGCGCTCTTCACTTTTCGGGCGTCCCTCACTTTTATCGCTTCGATCTCGCTTATTGCTTTCCTCGCTTTTCTCGCGTCGTTCGCGCTTATCGCGTTCCTCGCTTTTCTCGCGTCGTTCGCGCTTATCGCGTTCCTCGCTTTTCTCACGTCGTTCGCGCTTATCGCGTTCCTCGCTTTTCTCGCGGCGTTCGCGTTTTTTCGCGTTCCTCGCTTTTCTCGCGACGTTCGCGTTTTTCACGCTCCTCGCTTCTGTCGCGTCGTTCGCGCTTTTCGCGTTCCTCGCTGATCTCACGTCGCTCGCGCTGCTCGCGTTTCTCGCCCGTCTCGCGGCGGGATCCGCGCTGGGAGCGCGTTGCCTGCTCGCCGGCGGGTGCTGGCGCCCGGTTCTTCCCTAGGAGCTGGTTCAGCTCGAGCTGCTCGCCCGAGGCGTCCAGCGAGTCGTGTGCCGCGCTGTCGCCGCCGCCGCCGCCGCCGCCGGAAGGGTGTCGGACCGGACCGTCTGCCTCGCCGCCGCCTCTGCCCCGGCTCAGTGCCGGTACCGAGGTCACGTACACGGAGTTCGACTCGATAATGCCGTTCAGCTGGCTGCTCTCCTGGACCTTTTCTGTGTCGGACAGCTGAAACGGAAACAGAAATACGGGCGTCACTGACATGGCCGGCAAAATAACTTCGCAGCTCTCAACGCTTCGATGGAGATCGATCTTTGATCTTTTCTTACCGGAATCTTACCAGCTCCGATGGCTCGGAAAACAGGCCATCTTAATAGGTACCTAAAATGAAAAAAAACTTTTAATAGGAAGCATTCCTCCCGACCCCAGATGGTGTTTGCTAAAAAAAAAATTATGTCATATTGTGGCTACTGGCTAGAGGCCTGTTTAAAAATCGCATTCGAATAGGGTTGGGACCTATCTGCATGCTCTGTATGTTTTGGTAAAATAAAAAAGCTCAGAATTTTTAATGATTTAATTTAAAATCACTTTGTTAAAAAAATGCCTAGTTAGTTCAGAAATTGATTATTTGTGGCTGAAAACAACTTGCTTCTGATTGGTCGGGCTAATCATGACGTCACATGTAGGTATATAACTGTCTGTATATTTGGCGCAGTTGAGACATACATTGTCTATGTATTTTCCTATGGTAAATCGGAGTGATTGGTCGTGTTTTTAGTGTCTCTTTATTTTGCGCTGGTATTGCGTGGCTAAGAAGTTTTATAAAGAATGGCATATACTAAAATGTTCCTTTAATAATGGAGCTTCAATATCTGTGAGTTTTATTGGCAAGCGAAAACTGATTTCGCTGTTATTTTATCTGGAAATTACTCATTTTTTTAGGTCAATATTCAAAATATTTTACGGGAACAAGTTGGCACTTTTCTTGATTTTTGCACTCAAATCGCGTGCGATTCAACTGTATTGGAACTTGCAAAACAGCTTGGTGATTAATTAACTGTGTTGTTATGGCACTGTTTGCAAAGCATGGATAATGAAACTCTGCCAAAGACTTAGCTACATAGCAATACCTCAAGTAATCCAGGGCCTATTTTAACATGTTAACTGGGGGGGCAAATGCCCCCGCACTCAACAGAATTGCCCCCCCCCAGTCGTCGAGATTTGCCCACTATAAAAATGGGCATAAAGGAACAGGGTGACAAACATACTACTGTGATTGTTTTGCAATGGATGTCAAATGAGTCAGTCTGCAAGTAATAACCAGTGGTGGATCCAAGGGTGGGTCATATGGGTCATGACCCCCGCCCCTTGGGGCTCGGGGACACCACAGGCCTGCCAGGGGCACCAACGGCCTGTCAGGGGCACCACAGGCCTGTTGGGAGCACCATCGACCTAGCAAGAGCACCATAGGTCTGCCAGGGGCACCACAGACCTGACAGGGGTCCCACCGACCTCGCAGGGGTACCTTGGGCCTGCCAGGGGCACCACGGGCCTGTCGGGGCACCACAAGTTTGTCAGGGGCACCACAGACGTGTCAGGAGCACCATCGGCCTAGCAAGAGCACCATAGGTCTGCCAGGGGCACCACAGACCTGCCAGGGGCCCCACCGGCCTCGCAGGGGCACCACCTTGGGCCTGTCAGGGGTACCACCACAGGCCCGCCAGGGGCACCACAGGCCTGCCAGAGGCACCACAGGCCTAGCAAGGGTACCACGGACCTGTCAGCGACACCACGGGCCTGTCGGGGGCACCTCAGGCTTGTCAGGGCCAAGGGACACCACAGTCCTTTCAGGGGCACCACAGGCCTGTCAGGGGCACCACAGGCCTGTCAGGGGCACCACAGGCCTGTCAGGGGCACCACAGGCCTGTCAGGGGCACCAGAGGCCTAGCAGGGACACCACATGCCTGGCAGGGGCACCACCGGCCTCGCAGGGACACCTTGGGCCTGTTAGTGGCACCACGTGCCTGTCGGGGACACTCCAGGCTTGTCAGGAGCACCACAGTCCTGTCAGGGCCCAAGGGCACCAGCGGCCTAGCAGAGGCACCACCGGCCTAGCATGGACACCACCGGCCTTGCAAGGGCATCATGGGCCTGTCAGGGGCACCACGGGCCTGTCATTGGAACTTCAGGCTTGTCAGGGGCACCACAGTTCTTTCAGATGCACCGGCGGCCTAGCACCATGGCACCATGTTTGGCCGGGATCGCGATTCGGCGTATGTCGCCTCGCATTAGCCGCGCGTTTGGCAGTCTTTTCGTGGTTTCAAACGTTCAAAACATGGGATATGATGTTGCTCCCATGCATTATGGCGGGTGTCAAGGTCACCGGAAGGTCAGGTCTGGTCATTTGCCTTTGATGACCTCGATTCACATTCCGAGTTTTATATGTTTCTACTTAGGCTAGTTTTTGGAGCTGAATTCAAATTTAGCAACCAGTTGACCGTTTACACAGGGTGTCTCAAAAGTTCGTTGACAGGTACCAGCCAGGCTTTTTTTGTCAATAATTCGGAATCAACAAGAAATTAATAGCCAAAATTTTGCATGGGCATTGGTGACAACCTTCCTCAAGCAGTTTCATTGTTTTCAAGCGCATTCGACCCTTCATGAGCTCACATTAGGGTTCACCTTTGACCATGGATCAGACATGAAAGTGGAGGTAGCAAAATCGGGTCGGCTGAGAAGCAGACAGCAGAATCGTGCTCCGAAGAGCACCTGAATATGCAGCCCTAACTATTGAAAACTGACTAGAAGCTAACAGACAAAGGTTACCCAGTTTCAAAAATTGCAGGTCATCATAAAATAAAGACAAAGACAGGTGACCCTCCAAAAGTGTCAATTAATGTGAAGTTTTATCTTACGAAGTTTCAAGAGGCAGATCTGAAGCTAATAGCTTTCTTTTACACACAAAATCCGGACAAAACCGCACGATGGACATGTTTTGGTCGTTCACAAAGCAGAACCTCTCCTGAGGAAAACACTCCGGAACCTAGCGAAGGTCTTGGCATGGGAAATGACGAGCGTTTGGGATTTGCAAAATTTGCACAATGTGTCTAAGAAACAGATGACCGACACATTTTGCTACGATATGCTGCGAAAAAATTGCCGCTGGCACCTCCCATTTGTTCAAGAATGGGGTAGTTTTGAAAAGGAAAATGGTACTTGGGAGGTCGGCGCCAGTCATTCATGAAGGAGTTGGTGCCAGAGAAGACCTACGAAATACTCACGGATGGTGTCAATGCAAGCTGTCGGCTTTAAGGGAGAAGCGGATGTTGCCAGGAAGCTCGTCAAACCTAACTCCGACGCAGAAACTGCAGGAGATTCCCCTGCAAGAGCTTGAAAGTTGAAAGCTGGTAACCTTTTATCAGCCTCCGGCAGCTGACGGAGCGACGAAAATCGGTATGGGCAAATATTTTTGGAGATACAGCAAAGGGTTTGGTTTCTAACCTTCCGAATCAGTTGTCAAAGCATGCATATTTGTCTAGTGTACACACAGACACCAAAACCTTAGATTTTTGGCCGGTTCTTATATGCTTTATTGGCATGGGAAATGTGTCAAGGAACTTTTGAGACACCCTGTAGTTTTGGTGCCTTCGTAACATGTTACGGAGCTGTCAGAGGCGGTTGTCACCAGCTACGAATACCCGGCAAAACCCTTACTGGTTGACCTGACCTGACCTGACCTGACCCGACCTGGCCTAAATGCATGAAGACATCATCTATGATCATAACTAAGATGATATTCGTGATCAGCACCCCGAAAAAACCATAGCAGCCACCCTTTACTATGCTCTAACTCCCGATTTTCCCGACTTTTGGGTCATTGACCTGACCTGGAAGGTCAACCGATGACCTAGGACCTTTAAATTGGGTATCATCGGCTTCCTTTCATCACGGGCAACACGGTCGTTTTTTCCGCGAAGCTCTAACTCAATGGGGCGAAACAGCAAGGGGGAGGGTCCAACGGACCCCCCCCCCCCCCATATATACGTTCGCAGCTGGAATACACCAATACGGGCGAGGGTTAATGGAATTATTAAAGACAATTTTCCAGGTTGCCCCCCCAGTCAAATTCCCTTAAAATAGGCTCTGCAGGAGGGACAGAATTCAGAGTCCGATCGAGAAGAATCGGTGCAAATGCTACGAAGACCAGGCAGCTCTGATACAATAGCTAGTCGTCTCACTACTCTCACTCCATTAGACCAGCTGATTCCTGACAGCACCGACTCGGATGCAAAGATGGAGCTCATCTTCCAAGCCAGAAACCAGTTCTTTGATGGAAGATGTGATGCTGCCTCTGTCTCTGCTTTGTTGGCCAGTTTGGACGGGGCGGAGCTCCGCTCCTTGCGTGAGCGGTTATTCGCCTGTCATCCAGAAATAGTTCCTCCGTTTGCTGGCCGTTCCCTGATTAGGTGCAATACGGGGAGCTGTAATCAGGGAAGTAACTTTCCATATGAAAGGGGTGCAGGTGCACCCCCGTCCCCATCCACTAGAAGTGCTTCCCCATAGGCTAAGCGGCGCCCCACACGCCGCCCCACACGATTAGCTCTAGAGCAGATGGCGAGGGTGATTTCCCGGCTACATTCCATCTCGGCGTCGTCATGCTTGTGGGCTTGGAAAGCGTCCAGTCGTATGTAGGGTAGTGTAGGGGTAGGGTTGAGTTCAATAAGGTCCTTACATTTGAAAGGTTTGAACAACCCGCAATCAGCACAACATACCACAAGTTAAATAAAAAAACTACCAAACTCCGCCCAACTAATATTAATAAACATTACAGCCAAACTAATGGCCTAAATAAAAATATATCTCAAATCCTAACAGTTATCGCGGGTGATGGCGCTATGAGTTGCTATTATCCAAAACAGATGCAAATAAACATGTTTGTATGTCCTATGTATGTTTGTTTTAAAAACGTTGCAGCGGCGCTGGGAACTGCAGTCTTAGATCTGGGTATGTTTGGCATCTGCAACTCTTCATATACACATTAACCCTACTTCGGACGGGGAGGCCTTTCAGGATTTTCTTGTACAATTGCCAAACGCCGCGAGACATTCAGCTCATATTTGGTGACTTTTCCTAAATGCTCATTGCGCACATCTCAGCAAAAAAAAAAAAAAAATGCCGGGTCAGGTCAGGTCAGGTAACCAGAGCGGGTTTGTTGACCCCACCTCAGAAAAGTTTGCAAACACGTCAGAGCTTGAGTTTTTCACGAAGTTATTTCCTCTCATCAAGTCTTCAAAACAGTACCTGCAGTATGTGTCGTTCGTATATCTCAGAATTTTTGATCTGTGACCTGAGGTTAGGTCAGAGTCGTGACCTTTACATTGCAAGCCTATGGAAAAGTATTGAAATGCGACCTGCACCTCGAGTAAACGAGTCAAAACCACCCAATTCTTTAAGAATTATGACAAATTATCTTATCTGTAATGATCCAGGTGCCATTTACTGACAGGGACACCGGAGAGGGTTATCTGAGCCGAGATCATGTGAGGTGATATCTACCATACATCAATGCTCACAATACTTACAATATTGACAATGCTTTTGCTTACAACACTTACAATAGTTACGATGAGACCAGCAAGCACTCTGCCGTTACAGTTCTAACTTCTGTTTCGAAAACCGACGTTACACACATTCGCTGCCAACATAACATGTATTGTTTGACAGTAACAAAATACAATTGACATCTGAACCCCAAACGGACCGCCATCCACTCAAATTTTATAACCCTGACCGGTCAGGGGGCGAATGGAGGTCATCTCCTGGGCATTGCACTCAGCCCTTACACAAAATATCTCACCTCACAGTGATCATTACAACAATAGCACCGACTTGATAGTGGATTTCAAAGTACTTGCATCAGCTCTTCCTGCTATTGCAGACGATCATCTCCTCAGGGTAATGTTGTTCGGGACATGAACGAAGATCGTTTTCGGAGTTTCATAAGTGCTGCTGCAACAGCCTGGCACAAAACAGGACTTGTACGCTCTTCTCTGCACTTTGCCCTTCAGTATATCACAAAAGAATTGTTTAGAATCCATCTTACGCTTCTTTCACAGTCTCCCTTGCCACCGTAGGGCGTAGATAGATTGCTGTTGCTGGTAAGTTAAGGCACGGTAGATAGAAATTACCTCGGTTCTCAACGCCTTAAGTTATTTTCATAAAAAAGAACAAATAAATGATCAATAAGACAGGAATGTAAACATTTTAATCGTAAAGTAGTCCAAATATTGGAATGAGCTTTTGCTTTTCAGCATCCTCCAATTCATCATCTTTATCATTTGAAAATTCGAGGTACATAAAATGTTTATCACGCACTCAATGTTAAGTGGGAATATAGTACACGGCAGACACATCAATTTTTGACACTGAACATTTCATCCGTAAATGTTTTAGCATAATTTAAAGTTAAAAACAGCGCGAATGGCAGAGTGAAACAAACAACATCTTTCACCCATTGATATCACATGTAATCTGTGGTGCGCCAGATGCGCCATTATTTGTCAACCGCAGAAGGTGACATGTGACGTAACAGCATCAAGAGCATCTTTTTTCAAGAACTTTTCAAAACAAGTTTCCTATCTTTCTTCCCCCATTTCTCTCAGGATATTGATTTTATGAGCCGGCAATGGTATGTACCATAAATTCTGTGAAAATAGTTTGATCATTTTCATGCATTCTTAAAAAATCGAGTTCCCAACCCCATTGTTATTAATTTTATATACCTTTTGGGACTGTGGAACAAAAAAAAAACAGTCCAACATTTTTGGTATGTACCTACCTACATTTGTTACCACTTTTATCAAACATCTTGAGACAACGTTGCACAAAGCGTGCTGTTTCTTGGTGCGACTACGAAACAAACATCGCTTTGCCTGAGTTTCAGTGATTGCGTCGTTGTTACCGAGATGATTGAGTGAGTTTCTGTCAAATCAATTTCTCTGAGATATCAAACAGCGCTTGAATCTCCGAAGCGTCTCAGCAGTTTTGATTATTACAAATGACCGGTAAGAAAAAGGCAGTACGGCTCCCTCCCTAACCGCCCTTACCGCCTGCGAAGGCTGACGGGCCCCTGTGAGACAGACCGTTCGCGGTCTTCCTGCTCGGGTGCCCGCGCGTCACCCAGAGGGAAGTATATTTAACCGAGCCGGTCCGGCTGCGCAGAGCGGTATTTCGGGAGCCCGGAGGAGGCGACAAGGTGCCGCCGGTGAGGCCGACTGCGAATCACACGTGGCGTGCGACCGTAAACACAGCTCTGTTAGCACGCCGGGACCTAACGCAACACTGACTGAAGACGAGTCCACAGGACCAGATGTGACCCCTGTCAGCGCACCCTGGTAACGACATGGCAGTGCCTCCTGACCCCAGTAACGTTCCCAAGAATTAAGAATTAAATCCCTCACTGTGCCAGCGATCTTATGAAGGAGCATCATGTCTCTGTATGGTCGCCTGCATTCCCATTTCCTGGATGGAAAGGGGTTCAATGGAAAAGGAAAACGCACGGCTTATGAAAAGTAAACTGATGGGCCACTCGGTGCCACCGTCTCTGTCCACACGCGGCCCTCTATTTTCCTGTGGGACCGCCATTCGATGATTCATGGCGCAGGTTCGCGAGCCTCTCCTATCTCGCGGCGGCGCGGCGGCGGTTGACCTTGGCTATTCTCCGGCCGGGACTGGTCCGGCGGCCTGGTCAGACGCCGTGATGCATGCCAACACGCCTCCGCTGGCCGGCGCCTCAGGAACTGAAATCCAACTGCCAGAATCAGCAGTTCGGATTCCGAGGGGCTCCTGACAGCCGCCAGCATGGGGAACCGGCCGCCCACCATCCCCAGTTCACTACAGAGTAGCTTGAAGGCTGCAGCGTATCTGCCCGCCCCTCCCCACGCAGGTGAGTCGTGGCCAACATCGCACTCGCAGCCTGCCCCGTCGCCCCTCCCCTCACCCCGACAGATGAATGGCGATGGGGGCTGACCGACCGACACCGGCCCGCAGCGGCAGCCGCCGGCGCTAGTGGTTCATAAATCGGCCGCCAGAGGCGCCCTGGTCGATCGCCGGCGGCGGCCCGCCGCCCACAGGAGGGTCACGGACGCGCGCGCTGGGAAAGAGAAAGTCGCACGCCGGGTCGCGCCGTCGACCGAAGCGCCGCCGCCGTCGCCGTCTCGGCGGCGCCATCACTGTAAATCTCCCACGCAGGGCTCCCTTATCAGCACCAGCCGCCAGCCGCCAGCCCATGGCGCGTGCTCGACCGTAACTGGGGTATCGCAGCGCTTTCAACCCCGTGTCGATAAACTAATCGGCCCACTGGAATTGAACGAGATAACCAGAGTTTCTAAAATTGCTCACGCAATGTTTCCGCATAGCTTCTATGTAGTTGATAAACAATTGAAGTAGGTACCTACTGCTTGAAGCTGACAGACTGTTACGAGCACAGGTCGCCTCTTCAATGCGAAACTCGTCCGTCTTTGCATCATTATATAGTTACACGGCTAAGTCACCAGCCGTGATCGATGCTTTCATTCGCTGTACCGCGTTCGCAGGCCGGCGAATCACAAGTCAGTGAAAGAGTCGCCGGTCTGGCCGGTGAAAAGGCTGGCGGCGCGCCGGTCTGGCCCGCTGGCGACTGAGCCACCGAGTCGTGCCACCAGCGCCGCTCGGCTGAAATCGCCGCTCGCCGGTCCAGTCTGTGCTAACAGCGCGTCAGACTGCGTGGGGCGCGGAGACTGCCGACAGGGTTTAGAATGACTTCTGAGAGCGGCAGCAATCATAGTCATAACCTGAAAACGTGGCAGCATTTGTCTTTTACCAAGTTTACCTACTATACCGAATTTTAGTATACATATACCTAATGTTTGCGACGATAAATCAGATGTTAACCTTTTAGACTTTACTTTACCCTAGCAAGCAGATGAATTTACGTCTAGCGATATCGTGCAAAACGACATTGACGGTAGCGTCAAAGATGCTTCGTACAGCAGCATTGTGAATGTTCCATTTACCCAGGAAGCCTTCGGCGCCCGGCGGTCTGACGAAGCACAGTTCCGCTTCCTCAGACACCTAGGGTGCCGGAACATTAGAGGGAACCGTCGTATACTAATGGACTACTCGTATGTAGAAAGCTGAACATTCCAATTCCGTTGCATTCGCTCTATCGTGACATTGCGGTATTTATTGGAGGAACACAATACAAACAGCCCACTTTTTAGTCTGCCCAAAGGACGTGTTCAAATAGGGATACAGCTCGGAACACCCCGACCCTGAACTGTGAACGGTGACCTACAAACGCCCACCATTCATTAGGTCTAGGGCACTGTTCGCAGCTTCATAATAGGTATGACCAACTTTTGCAACTTATGAACCCAAGTAAGTCGACAACCAGTTTCGGTATAATCGAATGAACTGTAAACTAACCGATGGATGCAGCGAGAAAATCAGTCACAGTTTCGGAGGAAATCAGTTTATTTATTTTACTTTTTATTTATTCAAAGAGATCACTACCAGGCCCTTAACCCCACTTGCAGGCAAAGTCAACATAATATTGCTTTATCGTTAATGAACAAATAAAGAGATTGTCCGTCTTGGGGTCACCTTGCGCCGGACAGGGTTATGACCTCGTCATGCCGGTGACCTCACACTCTGCGCCACCCCCGAGACTTCTCTACAGACCGACGTGGTACCGCTACCCACCCACCCAAACCGACCTGCTCGGACAGCTGGGTCATATACCCTTCCCAAGCCCACCCATCGGGTCATTATAATTGTTACCCAGGACCCACCTGCTGAGAGAGGCGGGTCATATCCACCGGCTTGATCTTGCGCAGCGCCGAGAGCTTCTCGAGCCGCTCCCGAGCCTGCTGCTCCACGGCAATGACGAACGCATCCTGGACGTTACTGCTCTGCGCGAGGTCCAGCGCTGTGGGAAGACAGGACGACACAATGTCAGACGAACCGCGTATGATAAACGGTGGGAGGCACGCCGGAAGGTGCCGTCCTTCGGCTAGCCGGAGCGATGCCTGGGAGGGGGTGAGCAGCTAGCGACAATGACCCATTGTGCTAATGCTGGCTATAAAGGATCCAGGATTGGGGAGCCGCTGCACTCGCTTTTAGCGGACGACGAAACTTTATTGTATTATCGTAAGCGACGATGTCATAAAAAGTCATTACCTGCGCGCTCAGCACAGATTAGTAAACCGCATCACTCATGCGAAGTGGCGAGGTGGTGGTGGGGAGACATGCATTGTTACTTATGTTTCCTCTCTGCTTACCATTGACCTATCATGACCTCTCCGCCCACCGCCCGGTCATGTATTCACTGACCGCTGACCGCCATGTACCCGCCGAGTCCCGGACATGTCGCCCCCCGGTCGGTATCAGCCGCACTGCACCTCCATTCCCCTGACGTCAGCCATTGTCTCCGACGACGGAATTCCGGACGGCGACGTACTGCGGCGAACAATGACGCCGCGCCTCGTGACGCGAGACAAACGCGGCGCGACGATGACATGGAGCGCGACCGCGCGGCGAGCGGCGCCGGGTGTGGGAGCGAGCTCCGAGCTGCGACCGGCGGCGGGGCCGCGCGACCAAAGCTCCAGCGGCAGCCCGCCGCCAGCCAAATCACCTCGCACTGCGCAACACTTCCTGATTAAGCGGCAGTTCACGTGGGTGACGTTTGATCCGGCCACGGGGCCACCCACGCGAGGTGGTGAGCCAAAGCGCGTGTTTAGGACCGGGTACCGACCGGGTCGGACCCGCCTCTGGACCTGCACACCATGCAGTGCCCAGTGGCGCCTCTGACCGGGATATGGCGAGCTCCCAGGTGAGCCGAGCCGGGCCCCGGACCGGCGGCGGGGCCGGATGGTTCGACTATCAGACTGACAGGTCGGGTGACTATGTGCAGTGTGACACGATACATCCGACCGCTGCCGCGGCGGCCACGACGAGAGCACCGCATAGATGACTAAAACACTCACGGCCCAAGGCCTGGTCCATCACACACTCATGTAGCGTATAGCATCTCACGACAGCTATAAGGCTATTCTTTCGGCTTGCTATCTTATTGCTTGCTATCTTATTGCTATTAATCACTGCACTTCACTTCCCGCCCAGGAGTTCCGCAGGACAACTTAACACGTAATTTAGATTTTATCTTGTTAACCCGCGCCCTGGTGTGGGTCTGAGCCACCTTCGCCCTGGTGGGGGGGGGGGGGGCCAAAATGACCCCCCCCGTCTAACTCGAAAACGAAGAGGGCTAGGAAGACGCGGAAAAAAGCAAACGAAAGCCCATAACAAGTACGTTCGAAAGTATTTCAGTCATTTTTTCGCTAAGGTCAATATTGAGGTCGCTAGAGGTCATCATAGGTCAAATTTCAGTGTTTTCGGTGTTGCCGGACATATTCCGCTGTAGCTCGGAAACTAGAAGAGCTAGAGAGCCGCGGAAAAAAGCAATCGATAGCTCTTTTCAAGCTCTTTCGCCAAGGTTCGTCAGATTTGACCTCAGCTCAACGGTTTGGCCCACAGAGGTCATGCAAGGTCAACTTGGCAAATTTCGTTGAAAATGTTTTTAACTATAGCATGCATTCACGAGAAAATAGAGAAACGATTCATGCACCATCGTGCTTGGCTCGTCGAGACGCGTCGAATGATATATAGTTTGACCTCGAAAGGTCATTTTGAAAATTTGACCTCAGGTCAAGGTCATGACCTTACCGAAATAGGTCATGCTGCATATCATTCGATCCGCATTGACGAGACAAACACGATAAACGTCGAACGGAGTCTCTATCTCTATTCAATAACAAGTAAGTGCAGAAAAACCGCTGGTGACCTCTGGTGACCAGGGAGATGACCTAGCGTGACCTCAGCGAGGTCACAAGCAAATGGTTTCACATGGGCTGTGATTTGCTGACCCAAGACACTTCAATAACGAAATATAGGAACAATCACGCCCGATTTAGCTGAAAAACAACTACTTTTCGATTCTCCCATTGACTTATAATGGGGAGCAGCGATGACCTGACCTGACCTTAGGTCACATTTATAAAAAAATCCGAGATAGCCATTTTGTAGAGCTGGGTGACATCTTCAAGTACTGTAAATTTTACATCGATCGGATAAAAGCTGTGCCTTTGAGAGAGCTTTGAACTTTTTTAGAGGTGGTGTCAGTTTTGGTGACCTTGTGACCTGACCTGACCTGACCCGAACCCCCCAAAAAAGGACATGATGTAAAAATGTTGAATAAACAGCTATACAAAGTTTCAGGGCGCTAACTCAAGTGGTTTCTGAGTTATCGCTGAAAAACCACAGGGGGGGGGGGCCAAAATGGCCCCCCCCCCACCAGGGCGAAGGGCGAATCCACCAGGGCGAATCATGCCTCGGAACATTTCGACCTTGTTCGGTGCAACAGTAGCCTGTGACGGAGTTCTAGGAAGGAGCTCGCGCTGAATTCCGACATGGTGAGCCGAGGTTTTCAGCCGTATAATGTCTCATGTCGTGCAGACCTGCGGCGGAAGTGTTCCCAGGAAACCAGCAAGACACTACTCGCACCTTCTGAGACATACACAGGTGAAGCAAAGAACATAACTGACATTTCCGTCATCATTTCCTCAATGATGCTTCGAATGAAACTCGAGTGCGGTTTGTGCTGAGGTCAGTCAATGAGAGGCCGATGTAAGAAGTTGATATCTGCACAGCACGCCGCTGAAGCGAATAGAGTAACATGACTGCTGCTATGAGTCAGACACCACCAGCCAGCGGGTCTCGGTGGGGCAGAGCTGACATATCACACCAGTGCAACTGAGCTGGCTCGGCGGGGCGGAGCTGACTGCTGACAGGAACGTCCAGTGAACGACAGACCAGCGGTGGCATGACCGTCCAGTAAACTGGCGCAACCGACCAGCGCTGAATTAAGTCTCGAGTGGGCTGGCCCGGCAGACCAAAGCTGACACGATCCAGCTGGCCTGGTAGACCAGAGCTGACCAGACCCCTTTAGTGAGCTGGCTCGGCAACTGACATAAGTCTCGAGTGAGCTGACCCGACAACCAGCGCTGACCCTCCGTGAGCTGACTCGACGGACTGGCGCCCGCCGCGCACCAGCCGACCGTCAGCCGCCCCGAACAGCCGCCCGAGTCGCCACCATGTAAATGAGCTGCATAGCTGAGCGGACGCGGGGCGTTGGTAACCCCGGCCGGGTGATGGCTGACGGTGGCCGTGACCCGACCCGCCGAGTCGCCTCTGCCTTGACCCCGCCGGCTGCCGGCATGGCGCAGCGCCGCGCGGCTCACACGCCTTCTGTTCCGACCTCACACAACGACCCGGCTCACACGCTGCAGTGAGGCGTCCCAAATCATTTTGTAGTGACGGTTTCAAAATAGCGACAACTACTCGCCGTCAAACCGATGCGAAGAGCCGTCGCCGTCTCTAACAGTCCCGATGCAGCCCAGTTCAGAGCTTTAGACATCGGTGACTTTCAACAGCCCAAGTCGTCCTGAGTATAGAGATAAGGACACCGGAATGCTGGCCAGAGTCAGAAAGCACGCCACCCTTTCCTAGCCTCCCTCGCGGCCCGACCGACCGCCGCGTGGCGTCAGGAACAAAGCGCGGTTGGTCACGTACCGGCAGGGGTGATTGACAGGACCGGCGGGCGGCGGTGCGCCGCTCCGGTTACAGGGCAGGAGGGCAGGGACAGTTCCAGGACCGGCCCGGCTCGCACAGTCCACTCCGGTTCACGCCGGCTCAGCAGGTGACGAACCGGCGGACCTGGTTACAGCTCAGGGACACCATCTGCATATTCCGAGCAGCCTGATCAGATATGGATGCCGCGGCTCCAGTAAAGGGTGACAACAGCCGAAGGAAGGTCAAGCCAGTTGACGCGCCTCAGCTTGATTTAATTCAGACCTCAAAAGTCAGACGCTTCAATCAAAACAATGGCACCGAATGTTCCGATTCATCAGAGGACACCTCCAAACTCCTAAGGGCCTGTGTGGGCCTTCATGTCTCCTGAGCGCGGCCACTGCCATCGGGCCCCTGGCTGTCACCGGAAACCGACCAGTCACGCCCGAGTAGGTCGAGACAGCGCCGCGCCCGACGGGGGGCCAGCCCGGGCTCGGCGGCACGTCCTTCGTCTCAGACGACGTCGGCTGTTCCGTCAGACGATGACGCATCGACGCCAGGCATCTCGACGGCACCGTCACATCACGCATTCCTGGGCGCGGCCAACTCCGGTGTGAGAGGAGTGTGGAGACTGGGGGGGGGCAAGGCACCTTCTGTTGGCTCATATACATTTGGCTCATATACATATGTAGCCCGTCATTTACCCATGCCCAATTTGAGCGGAGAGAATGCGAAACATAGCGGCGTTGAGGTCCGGCGATGGTTCGTTCAAATTGTCATCAAAATACCGAGGCCAAAATACCCTTTGAAACATAACTCATCAATCTACGCGAGCCAAACGAACCCAAAACGGCGAGCAAGCGACACCAGGCATATGCTCGTTGGACATCGCTACGGCGGATGTACCGAGCCCTGAGCGGATGTATGCCTCCCAGTCCCCTCCCCCGGCTCCAGCCCTCCCCGCGTTCAATACAGCCGTTACTGACGATCGATTCACCGATCGAAATCCGACCCACCCTCCTCAGGGTGCCTGTAAAGTCAATACGACAGACCCCCCCCCCTCCCTAAACAGCACCCACCACTGGGTGCACGTGCCGCCTCTGTGTGTCTGCGCCTCTCTAAACACACCTGCAGGAGGCTTCACTGCGAATGGACAACTCGACATCCATCCGGGCGCACGCTGCCCTCGCCTAATGTGCAATTATACACGCTTGAGGTCAAAATTTAACCCTCGCATGTGTAGGGGGGGGGGGTCGGATGGACCCCCCCCCCCCCATGGTTTTTCGCGAATAACTCGCGTAAAAA